GAAGAGCGGGGGGTCGGTGGGGCGGTACAGAGCCTTGGGCTGGGCCGGGCTGAAGGCGGCGGGGACTCCCCGGCTCTCCCACCGCTCCGCTCCGCCCCGCCGCATCCCCGCCAGCATCCCCGAGGGCCGCGGCGCCGCACGCAGCAGGTCGGGCGGAGGCCGAGCGCGGTAAGGGGGTGAGGAGAGGGGGGGACCGGGGACACCCCGGGGGCGGTCCGCGGCCCCGATCCTGCCCCGGGGGCCGAGCTGGGCTGGCCCCTCCTCCGGCTCGGCCTCCCGCGGGGCGGCGGGCCCCGAGCGCAGAGCGGCGGCGGCGGGGCGCTGCCGGAGCCCGCTCCGCCGGGCCATGGCCAGCACCGGCTCCGCGCCCGGGGGCGCCGGCCCGGGCTCGGGCACGGCGCTGCCCACCCGCTTCCAGGAGACAGAGAAGCTGCTGTCGGCGACAGAGGGCCGGGAGGAGAAGGGCCTCCGCGGCTCCAAATCCTTCACGGCAGCCTTGCCCGGCGAGACGGAGCGCAACGGGCACGGGCTCGGCTACAAGTCGGTGTCGGTCGGGCACCTGGAGGCGCCGCCGCTGTCGCCGTCCCGGCTGAGCCTGGGCAGAGCCTCGTCCACGGCCACCAGCACGGCGGCCCCGGAGCAGGGCCGCCCGCGGGACTACCTGGTGCTCGCCATCTTCTCCTGCTTCTGCCCCGTCTGGCCCATCAACATCGTGGGCCTCGTTTTCTCCATCATGGTGAGTGCGGAACCCGCCCGGCGCTCGGACCCGCCCGGTTCGCCTCCGGCTTCCCCCTCCGCCGCCCCGACGGCCGCCCCGGAGCTGTCCGCGGTGCTGCACCACCGGCACCGGGCCGGGAGCAGCCCGCTCCGCTCCCGCAGCGCTCGGCTCGGCTGTGCCGCCCGGCCCGGCTCCCGCAGCGAGCTCCGGTGCGGGTCCGGGGGGGCGCGGGCGGAGGAGGAGGGCGGGGGGCTGCGCCGAGGCTGGGGCAGCGCCCGGGGAGGCGGCGGGATGGAGATGGAGATGGAGATGATGGAGATGGAAAAAGAGGCGGCGGGATGGAGATGGAGAGGGGGGTGGGATTCCAGGACAGGGTGGCTCCGGGAAGCGAGGTCCCTGCCCCAGGCAGCGGTCCAGGACGACTCGCCGGGCTTCCCCGGGAAGGAGCTGCGAGGAGAAGCATTGACAAGGGATCTCCCTCTGCCCCTCCTAGCCCAGCCCTGCAGCGCTGAGGAGACCCTGGCTGGAGGCTGGTGCCTGGCCTCAGGCACTTCAAAGGGACAGGCTGCACCTGCAGCTTTTATAGTCGCCCTGGAGAAGCAATTTTTCTCCATTAAACATCCCCCACACCTCAGCAAATACACCAAGAGCCGAGCAGGGGAAAATGAAGCCAGCCCGGCCTCCCACCCATCTCGGGTACAGGTGGCTCAGTCAGCACAGCCCTACAAGCAGAGCCACCCCCCTCCCCAGCAGATGCAGCTCTCTTGTACACACCCAGCACCTTCTATGCCTTTGATTTGCAACAAAGGCTAATCTGTTCTTTGAAAATCGGCTCCATTACCTGCTTACCACACAGAAATACACTGGGGGGCACCTGCAGCCAAGCACTTCTCCCCAAAACCACCAACAACTTGAAGGCAGGCACGGGCACTTGCCACAAAAAGTCCCTCCCTCTAGGGAGACCAATTTCCATTTTGAGGAGGAATCATCGTTTCTGCCAGTGCCAGCTGTCATCTGCGTAGTACAGTTGTGTGGCACAGACTGTTTAGGCAGCATCCAGGGAAGCCAGCCAGCCTTGTTGGGCTGTGCACTGCAAGGAGAGGGAAAGCAGCTGGGTGTTGCATATCCATGGTAATAAACAAGGTCTCTCATGGGGATTTTCCAGCCACATAGCCTTGATGTAAAATAGATCCTCGTCCTGTCCCTTGCAGGTGCCAGAGCCTCCAGGGTGGTGGGGATGTGCCTCGGGCCACACAAGCCCCGTGGAGAAGAGTGAACTGAAAAAAGAGCAGGAGTTGGTTCATCCTGCCAGGCAGAGAGGGACCAGGGTGTGGTGATTGTCACAGCCAAGGGGAGGCAGGACCAGCAAGGCAATAAGATTATTGGGCTGCCCTCTGCTTCCAAGGCCACTGGCAGCACTGACCAGGGCTCATCCAGGGCTGGGGAAGGGGAGGCAGAAGGCATTCAGCTGAGCTCGTTCTCCAGGACAAGGCACACACGGCACATTAGTAGCCAGTGCACATCCTCTGCCCTCTGCACAGTCGCCCCTGCACTCTCTGTCCTGTGGTTTCATTAATTTATTACAGCCCTTTCTAGTCCTGGCCCTGCCTGCACCAGCACCTCCACCCACCCACCCGCCAGCCAGGGATCTCCCCACGGCACCAGCAGAGCAGGATGGGGAGTGATCCATCCTCCCTCCCTCCATGAGGAACCGGGAAACATCTGGCTGGGTCCTCCTGCCAGCAGGAGCAGCTCTCAGGGCACGGGTTGATGTTTCACCTGCTTGCAGCAGGGAGGAATCGAGCTCCCAGTGACCCCCAAGGCTCCCCCAGGCTCAGGGCTTCTCTCAGAGTAAAGCCCAGATGTGCCTGATCATGCACAGAGCTGAGCAGGAACTAGGTTTTTGTGATTCCCATCGCCTGGGGAAACAGGAGGGCCTTTCCATAATGGGCTGACATTCCTTTAGCTCTGCAATTGTGCTTTTCTTTCCTGAGTCAAAGCTTTTGCACATGAAAGCTTTTTTTTTTTTTTTCTTCCTGGGTAATAAGCAGCGTCCAGAGAGGAAAGTAAATGAATGCTTTTGAGTTTAGTGTCTCATAAATCATTTCTCAAAAGCTGGTCTCATATCCCAGCAGGGCCTATGGCCAGAGGTGGAAAAAAAACCTGCTCTAGCTCCCCCAGCCTCTTTCTGCTAACACTGATTTAATGGAAATTAATTACCTGGAGGCTTCTCCACGGACTCTTGGATGTGTTTTTCTCACCAAGTGATGATCTGGCTGTTCTAAAGAGTTCAGGTCACTCCCCAAGACCCCCAGAGAGTGGGACTGGTGGACAAGGATGTGTCCATCCCATGGGATCCCTCTCATCTGAGTGCAGGGCAGGGCTGCACCCACTCTGCATTCCTGCTGTGAATCCTTTCCTTTTCCCACCAAAGTGCAGCCACTCTGGGGGAAGAAGCAGAGGAGCCACATCCCAGAGTAAAAAACTCCCAGCAAATGAAGGGAAATGAAAAAATCCAGCCAGAAGCACCACACAGTAACATCAAGGGCAGTTCTGCAGAGCACTTGGTATCCAAAATAAGTTCTGTCATTCCCAAAAGATGTGGCAGAAGTCAGACTACCATCACCCATTTTAAATGCTACAGTCATCTGTCTCTCTCTGGAGTTGACTTATGCCTCTCTTGGAATGTTTCCTTCAACAAAAACACCAAGTGTTGAGGATTAATGATTTATTCTGAGTAATTGGTGTATGGCAGCAGACAGCATCCAAAGCCAGTTCATAAACTGGGAGAGAGTGCAGAAAAGAGGATGTGATGATTTGTCTTCTCCATCCCTGGGACTAGCACAGGAAAGTAATTGCCTTTGTCTGCAACAAGGCCACTTAGGGAAAAAAAACCAAACATTTTGAGCAGCAATTGGAAGAGATAGCAGTGAGAAACAGGTAAAATTAATAACTCTTGAGTCACCCAGCCTTACCTGGGCTGCAGAACAGCACCCACTCCCCAGGTCCTGCAGATTTTCCAGCTCTGGGCTGTAGCAGGGAGTCCCTTGGCACTCACACAGTGACTCACTCCCCTGGAGCCCTTGAGCCTTTTGGAGATGTTCTGCCTTGGTGAGCCTCGATTAATAAACAAGATGTTAATGTTTTTATGTGGAAAGCCAAACATGGGATTAGTGATACTGGAGAGCTACAATCAAACCATTCCACACCGATGAAAAATATATGTACAGTACCAAATTCTTGCTAAACACCCCATGCCAATGCTGATGTGTTTCTCATAATTGTTGAGGGTAAATGAGCAGTAAACACTTCCAGAAGCTGTAGTGATAAATATATTGAATCCCTTAGCCTATATGTTTTGCCTAGAAGACAGCTAAAACTGCATATTTCACTGCAATCTAACCCACACCCTGCCAAAATATTACACTTTTTACAAAAACCAGAGACTGAAAAACCAAATCCCCAGAGCTGGAGCTGTCAGTGAGCAGGGCAGGGATCCTGTCTATCCCTGGGCTCCTGCATCCTCCCCATCTCTCACCACCAACCCATGAGGCTTCATTTTGTCACCTCCTGTTCTGTGATGAAAATAGCTCTTGGCTGCATCCCATTGCTTTCAGCGTGGGTCTGGCAAACCTGCTGTTGAGACCAGGAGGAACAAGGTCCTGAGCTCTCCTGGTGTCACTGGTGGGGACAGTGATGCCCAGGGTGGCCTGTGAGTGGGGCAGGACGTGGCAGGGGGGCAGTGGAAGCAGCACCTGCCCGTTTGAGGCTCTGCTGTGTTATCTACATGCTGACACAAACTCAAATGAGCATATGGAAACCTCCAAAGCTGCATTTTTCCTACAGAGCAGCTGCCCAGCCTGGGCTGGGGATGTTTTGGTCATGGTGCTGCCAAGAGGCAGTGGAATTAAAGCAGGATGAACGGGAAATGGGGCAGTAACACCAAGTATTCAGATTCTCTGTGATGTTTCATGATTATTGCTGGAGCTGGACTAGGTCTCCCTGCTCTTAATTGTTGTTTTTTTATTTTATTTTAACATGAGGCAGGGGATCCTTTCCACCACATCTATTTCTGAGATACACATTTTTTGAAAGGAAACTGGGATTGCTTTTATCCATTTCCACCTTTAACTCTTTTTAAATAATACACTTGTTGGTTTTTTTTAAACTGAGAATCTCCCCAGTTTTAGCAGCCATGCTCCAAAGGGATGAGCTGTCACACAGCACAGGGCTGTGGGAGCTGCTGGCCCCACAGTTTGCATCAGATCCCCCTTTTCTCCAAGATAGCATGGCTGGAGATGGATAGGGATGGATGGAGATGCCAGGGAAAGAAGCCTTTAATCCATGTTGAAGTGTTAAATACATAAAAGCAGCCCTAAAGAGGAATACCTGCTTCAAAACAGTAAAATCATCAATAAAACCCCATCCCCAGTGAAGTTTAGGGGAGTTTTGCCCAACTCCTCCACTGGATCAAGGATGCTGGGCTCCCTTCTCACCCCACCTTGTTTCTCTTTCCTCTCACTCCAAGGTGAAAATATCACCAACAGGCCTTAAAACCCCTCACCCACTTTTCCTCCCTCCAAAGCCCCTTCCCAATGGATTTTGTGGGGGGCAGAAGAGCCCTGCACAAACTTGGGGAGGCTTTTTGGTCCCAAGAGCCGGGCTGGCAGCAAACGCTGACACACGGTGAGAAATTCCAGCACAGCTCCCTTCTGCTGAGTGCTGTGTGCTCCCCCAGCCAAGGGCAGCACACCCAGTACATCCTTTCCAGCAGGATCAGGAGGCTCTTCCCTCAGCAGTGATGCTTCTCCCTCACCAGGAATCCTCACTTCCAGCATTTTTTGCTTGGGAACCAAGCGATTACCAGTTAAAGGAGCAGGAAAGAAAATGGGGCTCGGTTTGGGGCTCTACAGCCAGGGGGTCATCCCTGGAGCTGCTGCCTCTCTCAAAGGACTCTTTTTGTGTCTCCCCAGTCGAGGAACAGTGGCCAGCAAGGGGACACAGATGGCGCCCGGCGGCTCGGACGCATGGCCAGGCTGCTCAGCATCGTCTCCATTGTGCTGGGGACCATCATCATCGTGCTCTACATTTCACTCAGCGTCAGAGGTAACTCCTCCTTCTCCTTCCCTCAGCCCAGCTCCAGTGGGAACCTCGCCTGGCTCCCAGCTCCAGCCCAGGGGATAGGACAGACCTGCCCCCAGTCTACCCCCACCTCATTCCCAGTGCAGTGGGAGGGCACTGACTCCAGTTTGGTTTGACCATCAGCAGCTGCACGCACACATAAAAAAACACCTCAGAGAACGGGCTCCTTCCCCTAGAAACATACATTGTCCAAATCACCAGCATGGAAAGCCCTCCCTGTGCTGTCCAGAGTGCCCTGGTGACCACACAAGGTCTCCCTGGTAAAAGGTCCTGCCCTGGCAAAGCCTGTGGTTGGGTTTAGAAGAGTGCAGTGCTGTAAAAACAGAAAGGTTCCAGGACACAAATCAACCTGCCCAGAAATACAAGCCCAAAATGTCTTGGGAACCTCCCAAACACACCTGCCCCCACCTGCCAACCCATGATCAGCACAACTCAGGCAAACTGGGACCTCAGGAGCACCCAAAAGCCAAGCCAGGAGCGTAAGGGGAACATCTGTTGACTGCTGGAAGCTGCCCTAAGCCACTCTTTCTTTTACAGGCTCCTAGAAGATGTTTCAGCATGCAAATACCTTGAAGAAGAGGAAGACAACTTTCCTTTTGGGGTTTTTACTTTCAGCCTTGCAACAAAACAAAAAATTGTCACAGTGTAGGTGGGCAGCCCTAGACAGTCTGCTCTGGAGCGCCGTCGGAAGGAACGCATGCTTCAATTCACCGCCTCTTGGGAATGAGCCTGTGCGAGGGATGGGATAAAAATCACCCTGAGTAGGAATGGGAGAGGCCACGTGGAGAGGAGAAAGGGGAAATCCACTACCTCATTCCCCTCCAGCAGAACTCATGGAGTGGGGAGACAACTAAAGTGCAAGAGGAGGAGAGAGTCTCCAGAATGAAGCTGGTTTTGGAAGGAAAATACAAGGCAAGAACGGGATGTTTTGAGGAGTCCTCCTGAGAATTTTGGCACAAGTCACTGGATTTTCTGGGGGGTTGTTGGTTTTTAAATCGTCAAATTCTCTGTCTCTACAAAAACAAAACAAAACAAAAACAACGAAACAAAGCTCAAACTGCCATCAGGAGCTGAGAGCTGTTCCACAGAGGAGGAGGGAGTGCAGAGCTGCAGCAGGACCATGGCTCTGCTCCGAACGAAACGCAGCTGCCAAAGCTGGAGGATGTGGTGGGTGCTTTTGTATTTTTGATGAAAAAAAAAAAGAAAAAAAAAAAAAAGAAAAAAAAAAGAGACAATGACCATTTGCATGCCTTTGGGAATGTTCTCCATGTCTGCTCCTACAAGCTCTTTTATCACTTAGGGCAGATGTCAGAGCTGGCAGAGCAGGATGTTGCTGCATGAGAACCCCAGGCTCCTCCTCACCCCCATCCCATGGTGGGCTTTTTAATGGAAGGCAAAATCAGGCGTTCCCTGTGAACCCACACATTTCTCTGTGCACCCAAAGGGAGCTTAGCACCCCTGGCACCGAGACAAGAGCCTGGTTAATGCCCAGCAGCAGCACCACGGCACAGAGAGCCCGTTCTACCCATGCACACCCCGATGCCACGGCACGTCTGTCCTGCAGAGGCTCAGCATGATCCAGCCCCCACCACTGCCAGTGCTCATCCCCCCAACCCTCTGGGGCTTCGGCTTAGGGCCTTGCAGGAGATTTTTCAGGAGCATGAAGGAGTTTTAGATTCCTGCTCCTCTCCTTGCATCCCTCACACAGCTCTTCTGCAGCTCTGGAAATCTCCGGCGTCCCCGGAGCTGCCTGAGGTCAGTTCCACGAGTCCTATTATTTTTTAATGTTTTGTATTTAACATAACAAGAAAACAGACTCTGCTCCTCCCACTCTGTCTGTAGGTACCACAGGACCTGCCATGTCTTCCACACCATCCCCGTGGGACCCACTCCCCACACGCTCTCTCGAGGCTCCATCCAGCCCCAGCCCTTCTCCTCCCCGCTCACCCCTCATTGCTGCGGGCACTTCTCGGGGTTGGCCCTCTACCCACTCACCCAGACTATGCAAAGCTCCATGGCCTGTTTTAGTCAGGCTTTGTGACTTCTGGCCACATCCACTGGCTCCTTGAGTCTCTTTGATCCAAACTTTGGGGACACACCACCTAGAGCTGCACTGCCCGGCCTTTCTGTTGTCTCCAGCTGACAACCTGCGACATAAAAGCCTGGACTGACTGAGAAATGTTGTCCTTCAGGGCACTTCTGCTCCCTAACATCCATCTCCTGAAAAACACCCCCAATTTACACCAAATTCAATGCTTCCCAGGGCTTGTCTACATGGAGAATCCGCCAAAAGAAACTTCACAACATGGTAATTGCTTGGCACTAACTCCTTCCCTGGGTTCTAAATGGGCACAGGGTAGGGGTGAGGTGTAAGTCCTCGCTGTAGTTACTCTGTAGTAATTAATGAGCAAAGCCACAGGCATCTCTGTGAAAATTCTCCTGTCACCTTTTTGATTGCTCCTCTTTCAAGTGTTTTTTTTTCTTCTAGATGTTGTTTGAATCCAGAGGGTGACAAAGCCAAATCCCCCAGGCACGCTGTCAATATTTTTCTCTCCATTGGAAGGGATTCCAGGGACTCACAGCAAGAGCACATCACTACAGCACTTTCTTGGGCTCCATTTCCACCCAGCTCTTTGTCAGCACTCCATCACCACTGCTGGTGTCCAAAATGGACCAAATCTGCAACTTTTCTTTTGCAATTTATCTTTTGTGAGTTCAGCAAACAGGGACTGCTGAACATTGCTGGGTGGGAGCTCCCTCCTCCATCCTCTGTCCAGGCACTGCATCTTTTCCTCCTGAGCCCTTCAGAACCCCTCCCTTGGATGTTCAAACTTTAATCTTATGGTTATTGAAATCCCATCAAAACCCCCAAATGTTTCCTTCTTTAACTCTTGGACCCAAAAGCTGCTTGCTGGGGAACACATGGGGTGTTTTTTGGAGCTACAGAAGGGCAGTGCTGTCTGTCCCTGCATCTCCTGCCCTTTGCCCTTGGAGCTGCTGGAATTCAGTTGATGGGAAGAGCCCAGAAAACTCCTCCTTGGGCAGGAAGGGCCCTTTTTCAGGGAAAAGTGCTGGAGGGAGTTATAGGACTTGAGAGCATTTAAGTAAGAATTTAAATGCTCTTTTATCATTATATAAAGCCTTTCATCTAAAGTGCTTCTCTGCATCCAAAGGATTAAACCCTGCCACCCCCCACGAGGTGGGTTCACATTACTGCTCTAATTGCAGGGATGGCAAATGCTCAGGCACTGAGCAGTTCCCAAATCAACCCCCTTTTCTTCCTCCTCCTTAACAGAACCATGTATCAGCACAGATTTCCTTGGAATATGTTTTTTTTTCAGTGGGATTAGACGAACTATACCCCACTGTGGTTCCAAATGGGATTCCTGCAGCCAGAGGAAGGTGAGGCAGCTGCAGTGGTCCTTGCCACGAGAAGTCCCAGGCCAGGGCAGCACAAAGCAGTGGATTCCCCTGGATGCAGGAGAAGGCAGAAGATTCCCCCAAGATCCCCAGGGTGATGATTTGTTTGCGCCTCCTGTCTCATTGGACAGCTCAGGTGATGCTTCTCACCTCACTATTATGTATAATAACGAAAGAGAAGAACTAAGACACTTGAATCCCTTTCATTCTAAAATCTTCCTGAATAGATACAATTGTACTGCAGCCTTGAACTCAGCTTTTTTTTCTTATCCTGCATTTAAATCCAGAGGAAAGCCTCTACAGTTATCCCTGATCTGCTTGTAACCTGCCTCTCCAGTGCTGGAGAGATAAACTCTCCAGGGACATCCAGGAAGTCCCTTCTCCCTGCTCCCCTATCAACTTCTCCATACATTTTGCAGTCTGTTTTGCAAAGTTTTTGCCACTTTGCTTTCCCCATCCCCCACAGATTTATCCCAGCTCAGCTCCCTCTTTGGCTTTTTTTGGTTGGAATTTGCTCATATTTATGAAGGAAGAGGTTGCAGGGCCCCCAGCCCTCAGCACACACCTCACCTGTGCTGTGTTACAGAGAGCTTGATGATGGCAGAACTTCATCCTGAGGCCAGCAGGCACAGTCACCCCTTTGACTAAATCCACAGGGAGCTCCCCAGAACTCGGCTTTTAGCACACAGGGGGGCAACCACAAAAACTGTGCCATGAGCCTTTTCCTCTCCAGCCCCACCAGCAGCCCTGTTTCCTATCCCCCAGCCCTTTGCCACCTGCTGCAGCCTCCTCTGAGCACTCATGTCAGAATTTTCTGTGTTTGCAACCAAAACAGTCATGAAATCCTCAGGCTCTGGCCAACTTCTCCCCCCTGGTGAAGGAAAGGTGAGAGCAGGGTGACAATCCAGCCCTACCTGACAGGGGAGCTGAGCTGGTAGGAGGGGAGCTTGCTGAAGGGATGGAGAAGGTGGGAAATGTCTGTAAATGTAAGCTGGAGTAGGAGTTACCATGGACAAGAGTGAGGTCCTGGTGGGATGTAAATACATGGGAAGGAGACTCTGAGCAGAGCATTGGGGCTGGTGGCACCTCCCTGGCACTGCTGTCCCTGGGCAGAACTGGGCTCTGTGGGGTGGCACAGAAGGGCTGCTGGCTGCATCAAGGCTGGATTGAAGCTTTAAGCTGAACCAGCAACAATCTTGGCTTGTTTTTGCAGCAGCTCCTGGTGGGATGCAGTGGCTGAGGGTGAGGAAAGGTCTGGCCCAAGTCAGTGGATCTCAGCACCACGCTGGGTGCTGCCTGCAGACTCCAGAGGGATCTGAGCACCAGCAGAGGAAAGAAAGCCACCAAAGGATTTCAAAGTTTGCTGTGTTAAGGATGGCTTTGCTTTTTCTGGCTGTTTTTTCATCCTGTTCCAGTTCACTCCTCTCTTTGCCGGTTTTGCCACTCTGTCCCTCAGCATTCCCACCCCCAGAGCATTCCTGAGGACCACAGCTCCTTCCTCCCAGCCTCTGCCTCTCCTTTAACCCAAACAGGTCTTGCTGCAATGAGATCTCATCTCTGGGCTCTGCTGGAAGGGTTAGAGAGGGCAGGGAACCTCTGACCCAGCTGCAGCACGGGGTACATCACCTTCCCCACACAGATTTCTCCATGTAGACAAGAGGAGCAGATCCTGCCTTTTAAATAGAATGGAATCTCCCTTTCCCTTCGCTCTGAGCCCAGGGAGAGGCTGCAGAAAGGCACCCATCGGGCTGGCCCCACCCTTGGCCTGTCACTTTGTTACTCTCACACAACCACAGCCCGGGTTGCACTGTCAAGCTGAAATAATTCAGATTAAACTCGTTTTCCTTTCAGTATACAGCCTTTAGTTTTGGCAAAAACCAGTTAGGTTTGGGCTGAAAAACTCCCCTGCTTGGGCACAAGCCAAGGGGGTGTGTGTGTGGGAAAGCAGCCTTTTCAAAGTGGGAATATTTGTAAAGCATTTGCTGACACCAGTAGGTAGCAAAATTCCAACCTATCCAGGATTCTACCCACCCAGGATAAGAAACATCAGAAAGGGAACGTGTGCAGGATTCACCAAGGAAACTCTGACAGCGCTTGGGAGCCCTTGTTAGAAGGTGCCAGGACTTGATCCTTGGCATGGATCCATGGCAGGGTCCATCCCCTCCACTGGGAGAGCCACAGCTCACACACAGCATGAACACACCAGGAATTGCAGCTGGGTGCTTCTCTTTGCTGACAAATGTTTCTTTTTCTGCAGGATGGTATGGTATATCTTATATACTTTCTTTGTATTTCTTGGCATGAGAAAAAAAAAAATAATTAAAATGTAACATGCATGGTCAAAGCTGAACTGGTTTCTTCTGTCTAAATGAGAAAAAATATAATTATCCAAGCTACTCATTCAGCGATTGCTTCACACTCTGAGAGCAGCCAGTTGGTATTTTGGGTGCAGTGGGTTGCAAACAATATGTACAGGCAAAGAGTAAAGAAAACAGCACAAGTCAGAGCAGGGAGAGGTGCAGACAGAGCAGCCTTGTGCTGGTTTTAACAAAAAACACTTCCCAGGAGTTTTTCCAAGCAGCCTGGAAGGAAACCTGTCACCCCCAGGGTTTATTTGTGTTAACTGGTCAATCGAGGTGACTGATCCTCACTGAAGCTGAGCTGCACAACCATTTCATTCAGCTGAATGCCAGTGCTCTCCTCTCCCTGCACACCCCTGGCATCCTCTGGGAACGAGGGGCAGCACAGCTTCCAAGCCAGCAGAGACCTGTG